TCTTACAGTTACGGAGGTCATTCACCAATGGCAACTGGACCAATGTGTGGGGTTTTCCTCAATTCTTCGCAGACTCGCTCTTTTAGCTGGTACATTTTCAAGAGTCATTTTCCACAATGGCGGTAATGTAAACAAAACAAGACAGTAAGGTACCAAACAGGAAATACGCATAATGTAGAGCAGATGTATAATTGACCAATCAGAGGCCTCCTTTCTCTCCTCCCTGCGACACTATCTGAGGCACTGTCTGCAGTCACCTACAATTTTGGGGAGGTGCACGAGAGTGTCTGCAGAAGGGGCGGGGATACCTACGTTAACTGCAACACTGTTTCTGAGCATAAAGGCCAATTTATGCTTCTGACGCAATGCCTCTTCAACCATCAAATCTGTCTCTGTCTCAAAAAAAATCTTGACTAAGCATCGGACGGTTGCAAACCCACGCAGACCTCAAGCGGAAGTGCTCAGACAAAAAGCAACTGTGATTGGTCCTTGGTATGACTTTCCAGCTGTCTGTGTGGTCGTCCTTCTCGATTCAGTGCCGGGGTGCGCCATCTTTAAAAACCCAAGGAACAACTAAATGGATAACTATGACGAAAGTTTAATTGGTCTTTTTGCCAACTCCATTAACAGAACATGTTCCTCTTCGATGTCTAGCAACTCTAGATCCATCTCAGTGACCGTGATATCTTGCTGACACGCCATTGTTGTTTTGGAAGATAAACACTCCCACCGGTGCCTCCAAAGTCATCATGACCATCCGTCGAAGTTCTAGTGACCATCTTCCAAAGATCCATCGACCATCCGCCGAAGATCTCGCGAGTTCTCGATTAGGCTCCCCCTTGCGCTTTTGCGGGAAACTGCTTTGCGTCCCTAGAAAGTCTAGACCGACAGTGCAGAAGCATACCAGCAAAACTGGTTCGCGACCAGACCCAAGCGACACTTGATGTGTGCGGTTGCAGAAGTCTAATCTGCCCTTAAGCCAGGGTTGAGACAGGCTGCTAAGTGCTAGTAGGAATGGAGACCAGATTCCTTTAGTTTCAAGGTTTACCATTTCCTTGAACTGGAACTTGTTTTGATTAAGCTGCATGATGAGACCTTCAGAGCTCTTTGCAGACTATATGTTAGTCAGAAAAACCTTGTCTATATCAGAACATTGAGCTGTGAGACATGTTAGGATTGTCTTGTTCTCATCTTTGCAAAGACCAATAAAAGTGCCAACGTAGTGATTACTATCGATCTCCTTTATTTAACTTAAATTCATTTCCTACAACACCAGCTTCAAGGCTCTCCTGAGAGAAGCCTCCTGCAGCATAATATTCCCTCGACCTTGGTAGGTTTGCATGTTTGTTATTTAATGGATTTGGATAAAAAGGGAGGCCATTGTAAAATTTCAATGGATTACAGAGAAATGTGTGGCTTTATTGTAATATAATATAAAAAACAAAAAATATGAGAATGTTTTGATAATCACTGTAGAAAAAGAGGGGAATAATAACCATAATGTTATTTTTTCATTACTTTATTCCACAGTATGTTCTTCCTCTTTGGAGATACTTTCACACTTGTCTCCTTGCACTTAAGTCACGGTTACATAAACAACACTGACACACTCCGACCTGGGTCTTATGCAACGGGGGAAGCACTCTGAAGTGAACCCATTAGGAGATGCTTTGCCTCCAACTTGTTTCAGACTTCTTGGCCGATGCACTCCGTTCTTTCTGCTACGGTCAAACAGGCTAATGCCAGATGCAGCTGGGTGAATGAAAGGGTCATCTCTGAGAGCAGGCTGACAGCAAACAAACCAGAGAAGAGGACACATTCAACAGGGTCAGGGAGAGATATTGCAAAACAAATGATTGCCCTCTGAACCCAACCCCGGAGTTTGAAACTCTAAACCCCTCTGTCATGAACCGGCAGGCTTGCATCCCAGCTGCACATGTGCAGGATGGTGAGGCTGCTTGAATGAGACGGGATCCGGCTCGTGTGAGCTTCAGTATCAAAAACCACTCAGGGTTCAGTTTGGTCAGGATGTCGTTTCACTGCGAGGCCTGAAAGCCTGAAGCAGCAGTTAGACTGAACGACTCAAAACATTAGTGGAGAACCTTGGAGGTATTCAGAGAGGGACGGAAACAAAGAGTAAAATAACCTCATTTCTATTGTCTTTTGAACTAAATAACTCTATAACAGAAACTCCCATATGTTTCACAGACAGATTTCGACCTCATAGATACAAATAAAACTGAACCAAATATGTATTTCTGACTGCAGTAGTGTCCGTTTTCACTCAGGGAAAACTGAACTTTCCGGTGTTAAAGTAACACAGATCAACATATAGAAGATTTTACAGTGAATTATTTTGACATCAGTCGACTCCCTGATTTATGTTGCAAATATTTTCAGGGCAAATTTTTGAGCAAATTTTTCATTTTCTTCCTTCATTTACATGATGCATTGTCATAATGATCACAAAGTCTCAATTTTAACAAACATAAAAAACAGAACCATCACAAAAACAATAACATTAAAGTCGTAGGGAAGCGGCTGTTCCAACTGTTGCATTTCCGAATTCTCCCAAGTGGTGCCCGACTTTACAGGAGTGAATAAAGTGAATGTGATTGGTCGTTTATCAAGGGGGCGGGATTGTTGTGGCAGAAGTTTCGCAAGCAGGTTTGACTGTGGCCGGTTTGTCAGAAGCATCTTGCTAACCAGTTAGCAACTTAGTGCTAGTAGGTTCCCAATGGGAAATTCCATTGGGACCAAGTAGCACTAAATTGGTGACTTAGAAACGACACTGTCAAGGAACGCTATGGACAGAGGAAACATGCAAGAGGAGGAGAGTTTAGTGTCAAGAGGTCGTGGATGAGTCTCCTCCGTCATACATTTTTTATTTAGAGGAGGAAAAGCGGGGACGAAGATGTTGTGGAAGAGGACGCCAGGGCAGCAGAAGCTTGGTTTGGTGTAGAAGGCTTACAGCCGTACATACTGAGCCCTTGCCTTGCAACTCTGCCAGTTCTGTTAGCTCTACGCCTGCTGAAGACACAGACGTCCATCCCCGTGAACACTGGGACGGAGCTCAATGGGAAAGTAAATGATTCTTATTGCTTATCTCAACCGTTGCGTATATTAGCTGCGACATATGAATCAAGATGCTTGACAGGAAAGATTTGATTGACAGATGACCGTTCATATATGATTGGCCGAATGGGGGTGTTCAGGCTGACGTATAACTAACTGGCCTGCATAAGATAACGAAAAAAAAAAGATTTTAAGACAGGATTTTTTTTTTTTTACAGAATTTTTTTAAACTTTGGTACAATATGGTCTGATAAAGAGTACATTTATATACATGTTTAAGCCAGAATAATTTGACATTTAAATATGATTGAAGGGGAGTGGCGGTCTAGTTGTTAGGGCATAGGGCTTTGAATCCTGAGGTTGTGAGTTCGATCCCCCACTCCCACAGACTGTCACTCTGGGTCCCTAAGCAAGACCCTTCACCCCACATTGCTTCCCGGGCGCCGCACAATGGCAGCCCACTGCTCCCCAAAGGGATGGGTTAAATGCAGAGAAGTAATTTCCCTCTGGGATAATTAGAGTATATAAAATAAAATAAAAAATAAAAAAAGTGATTTCCCTACGACTTTAAAATTCCCCGAACATAAAGATCAATGCAAATAGTTTGGAAATGCTCTGATACTGCTCTGATTTTTGGACAGTTTTCCACTTTTGTTTCAGTAAATTTTTTTAATTATCCACAAAATAGCTCTTTTTTAATTCACATATTATTGCGTATTGTGTGTTTTTACTTTGTTTAGTGTTTGGTTGCTGGGATCTTGTTAAAGGTCTAATACTGACACCCAAAGACATAATGTGGCAGGATTATTAGTGAAAAGCTTTTAGCTGGTAAAAATAAAATGTTTTAAATTTGAAACCAAACGTTTCAATGAGTATATCAGTGCAATTTCATGCACTCTATTGTTTTTGAATTTTATTTAAACCTATTGTGATATGTGTATATGGTGTCACGTGATTATAGCCCAAATATGTCGTGATATTAGATTTTCTTCATATCAAAGAAATCACATTTATATTGACTTTTCTACCTGCAACTAGTATTTTTTATTTTTTTTTTTTTTGCTGTACCTCTGTGGACAGATGGAGATATAATGTGTTTATGGTGAAATGTTAGCAGCGTTTGTTCCCACGCACCTGGAGTTCCACTCTGTGAGCTTGGTGGGAGGTAGCCGTCTGTAACCTGGTGTGACGGCCAAGGAGAGCCTCGGGCTGGCCACCGAGAAGAGAAGCTGGAAACCCACGAAGCTGCCAGCCACCACGCTCAACTCTCTCGTCTCCATCACTCACCTAAACAGGACAGGAGGGGAATGGGGGGACGGGGAGTGGGTGAGGGACAGGGAAACGGGGTGAGTGATCCACATGGACAGGTCGGGTTGATCGCTGTCAGTCATCCTGGGCAGCGGCGGCAGAGAAACCGATGTGACGGCGGCAGTGCTGAGGGTGAAGGTGCACCCTGAGTTTTCACCAAATCCACAAAGCAAGACAGGAAAAGGACAGAGACAAGAAGGGGAAAAAACAAAATACACGTATCAACTGAAAACATGCAGGTGACAAAAAAAGCTTTTACTGAGTTTTAAAGAAGAATGTTAAATGAGTGTTTCTGAACACAGCAGGCAGAGCAGGAGCTGGATATAAGGAATAAAAGGTCTGTGTTCGGCACATTTGGAAAGAGGATTACAGCGACTTGTTTGGGACACACCGAAAAAATCCCTGAGAAGAAAACAAAAGACTCTGTGTAAGAAAGGAAAGAGGATTTTTACTATGAAGCAACTGCTTCAGCTCACAGGAGTTTGCAAAACAAACTGCAGTTTAGTTCAGCGAGGCTGATCTTTGGTCCTCCGGTTCGCTTTAAACCACCTGGGCATTAAAGCGCCCTGCTAAACAGCTCATATGACTCTGTACGTTCATGTTAAAACCTAAAACTTAAACAGTATTTAAGCAGGATTTTCTGGGATTGACCAAGAGAAAATTGGGCATAATTAGGAAACCGTTTTCATAATAAAAGCGCCTTACATCTGAAACTCTATGGACTATAATATATGATGGGATTAAGGAGGTTCACCTAACTGCAGGGAAACCAAAAACATAAAGCCAGAGCAGCATTGGAGAGCTTTAGATGTGGGGTGCCCAACAATCTAATCAAGGAATCAGCCATTTGACACAGAGATTAATCCAAAGGTTGCAGAACTGAGCAACTCTAGTCCTGGAAAAAACTGGTTTCGATTAGAGCATCATTATGTCCGACAAATACTCTGTCATTTAACATCGCTTCAATTTAATTCATAATCTCTCGCCTACATCTACATGCAGACGATCAAGTTAAGAAAATGTGAAAAAAGATGAGCAGTATGAACATTTTGCAAACTGATGCACACGTTTTTGTCTTTTGTTGGCTTTCTGACTGCACTGCAAAGAGTGAAATCTAACCAAATCTTACCATCTTAGATCTAAAGCAGAAAGTCTCTCTGATGTTGTCAAAAGATAGAAAATGGAAAAATATATTCTATGTTTTTATATCTTTGTAGTTTTGCCTTAATTTCTGCTGTAAGTAGGTCACATTTTTAGCTGATGGTACTTTAAAGAGTGTGTGCAATTATTGTAGGTAATGACTCCATCCATCCATCCATCCATCCATCCATCCATTTTCCTTTAGGCTTATCCCAGCTGGGATCACAAGGGGTGGTGGTGCCCATCTCCAGCTCTCAATGGGCGAGAGGCGGGGTACACCCTGGACAGGTCGCCAGTTGCCGGGCAACACAGAGACAAACAGGAAAAACAACCATTCACTCACACACTCACTCCTAAGGAGAATTTAGAGAAGCCAATTAACCTAACAGTCATGTTTTTTGGACTGTGGGAGGAAGCCGGAGTACCCGGAGAGAACCCAGGCATGCTCAGGGTGAACATGCAGAAAGACCCCGGGCCAGTGTTCTGTCAGATCAGTGTACCCCGTCAGACCAGCATACTCAGTCCATATGCATGGGAATTATACCTGTAGTTTATACCCGTTTATCCCTTTAGGTTTGTATGAAAATACACTTTAAACAGGGTTTATACAGAAATGAGGTACTCTAATTTAATATTTTTTAATACTCTTTAGTGTTGGACTGATACCGATACCACCATCAGGCGGGGCCCTGATCCAGCATTAACATGGTGGTATTGGTGAGTACCAACAAATAGGGCACTGATAACATTTTTAGAGCCAAAATTTTATTCAACTATTGTCGCCCATTCCAGGTAGGCAATAAAAAGTTCTACTGGATTCACTTTGTATTAGTCCTTTTCCTGCTTCACAAAGGTAGGCAGCAGCTTGACAAAGCCATGATGGCAATTATTTTACATCCTAGTAGTATTACAATCAACCGGAAGCAGTTCTGTGCAAACACATAGAGCAGGAACCTATTAAAAAAATAAATAAATAAGTAAAGCATTTTAAACACCACTGCAATCGCATTTAATAAATTTTAATGCAGCGGAATGCAGCAATGACCAGCGGAAACCCTGTTTAGCTACCTCGACGAGCATGTATCCCTTTAATCATGTACAAAAAATATATTTAAGGTCAGATCTCCATAAACTTCAAAAAACACCAAAAAGTAAGTAATTAAATTGTTTGTTTTTTTTGTACATGACTAAAGGGATACATGCCCATCAAGGTAGTTTAAAGTGTATTTTCGTAGAAAAATCAATAGATAAATGGATATTGACCATGCATATGCTGATCTGACAGAATCCCCGGAAGGTCACAAGTTAATTACCAAATTAGTTGACGATTATTTAAAAATCTATTGATCACTATTAGTCCCATAAATTGTTTCAGCCCTATTTTAGATGCATTCTGATATTAGTTACTTGGCATACATCCATATCGGAATGAGACATCCCGAATTCCGACAATAACATCTATTCAGATTCGTTTTCCATATCTCCTCACTTTAAATCTTTTCCAAATTTCAAATCTAAAAAAAACACTTGCAATAAAACTGTGCAGGTAAGACATGTTCTGACATAGAAACTGAAAGGTTACTTTGGTTTAGCTCTGCTGCATATTTTAGTTCTAAATAGTGAAATTTCCTTAAGGGCCTTTCGTTTGCCACAGGCAGGGAGGGATTCAGATTTACCAAGATTGTAATACAGCTAATTTCTATATCCTTGCAGAATTTCAAGCATTTGAAAATGGTTTGAATTGTTAGCTTTGTTTATTTTTTTCACTTTAAAATGCAAAGTTGACATAAATATTAAGCCTCCATAAAAGCAGGAAACAATCTGGTTAGCCATTTATGGCAAAAAGGTACTAAATTGACCACATTACTATAAACTGAGGCCATTATGAACACCACAGATCATATGTGTCGCTGTCAGAAAGGTTTGCTTAAAAATGCACAGTGCTCTAATTGGGGAAATCTGTTCGCTTTCACTGAGGGCAACAAACTGGAAGTTTGTCTTTGCAAAAAGTGAAAGAAAGCAGAAGGAGAGAGAGAGAGACGCGTTGCTCTTGTGAACTTCAATGTTTCTGAAACAACAGCGGAGAAAATTGATCCTCCAGTCCCTGGTGCTGACACTGTGCTCTCATCAGTTTCTACAGCTGCTTATGTTTAAGAACAAAACTATCGATTCACCAGACGGACGCATCAGGTTGACTTCTTCCCTCTCCGTTTCCCAAAAAGACTAACATGAAGTGAGCGCGGCTGTGTTAGCCTGTGAATGTAAAGATGCTGCTTGAAGCGTCTCAAAAAAAATAAGTCTATTTCTGTCATCAATCGAAAACAATCCTCATGGTCTGAAAGTTTTATTCTGTTGGAAAGAAACCCTGCATCCAACACAACAAGGAAACAAACCAGAGATTGCGGCGCAAACTCTTCTTTCCTTCAGATGGAGTCCAATAATCAGCTCTCACTTGGGTTCAGTGTTATCAGATGTTGAAACTTTCTGCGTCGCTGCTAATCTGAACTCTCGCTTGCTGCATACCCCGAGCTTCTGATTAAATCCACCAAATTATGCGAGTTATGTAAAATCTAATTACTGCTGACAGATTATACTGTGCAAGACAAAGGTTACAGTGAGCGGGCAGACACGGCGGGTGAACCTGATACAGCGCAGATATGTGGAGTTGTTCTGCTTGCAAAGCAATCTGAGGGGGTTAACCGCTCAGACGCACATGACACTTTGTGGAGGTAATCTACACACATGCAGGGATTTGCAAAGGTATTCAGAAGCCTTGGATATGTTTTCCTCCATTTTTGTCACATTATAACCACATATATCCATCTATATTACTGGGTTTTATGTTTTAGACCAACACACTGGCATTTCATCTGTTAGGCCTCATCTGACCATAGAAACTTGTTCCATGTTTGCTGTAGGACTTGTGAGGATTATTAGTTGTCGTGTCAGTAGGTTAACCTACCTGAGTTACCACGAAACAACCCCCCCAGTCTGCTTCTCATATATAGGGTTGTAACTATAGATTACTTTAGTGATGAATAATTACCTTGTTTTAATTAATAAATCAATCATAAACAGTTAGAAACAGACTCCATGAGGATGGTATGAGGGCCCAATATCTAAGGGTTGTGCTCACAGCCCAACACTGTGCAAGATGCTTGGCATTCGCCAGAGAACAACATCCCTACATTTTCCAACAAAAGATCTTTGATTTGAAGACAAGATGGATAGTTTACATACAATGGATAGAGCCATAGGAGGACAATAATCAATTGCAATATAATTCCATTCACAGTTGTTGAATGGAATTATATTGTAATTCATTATCAATTGTACTATAATTCCATTCAACAACTGTGATATTACATTTTCTATATGTCAATATGAATATACAGTTAGCGATTAAAGAATTTGTCACTGAACGATCTTAAATAAGCTAGATTTCTAACATTAAACTGGAGTTCGCTGGTGAAGATTCTCAGTCATTCAGGTCATAGTCATTCCAAAAAAAGAAAACATTAAGAAACAATTTAAAGAAATCCACTTTGACTTTGTTTCCAAGTTTGAAGACGTTTCACTTCCCATCCAAGAAGCTTTGTCAGGTCAAAATGTCAGGAATAGCGTTGAGTTTGAGGTTTTCTTGGGCTACTGTATAAAACCTCGAACTCACAGCTAATCCTGACATTTTGAATTAAAAAAGCTTCTTGGGTGGGAAGACAAACGTCTTCAGACTTGGAAAGAAAGGCCAGTGGATAATTTTTTATTTTCTTTTTTTTGGAATATATTAGAGTAGATCGACTTTGTAGAATAATTGTCGATTTGGTCGTGGGTTTTCTTGGCAGTCTTCTTCAGGCTTTTTTTTTCTATATCTTTATCCAAATGATATCATATTGATTGCGAATTATGAAATTTATTGTAATAAAATTATTGGCCACAAAGTCTAGCCCTTTATGAAGTCGCTTAGACACAAAATGGTCATTTTAAATGAAAAATGTGTGTAGTTGTACTGTTTTAGCTTAGTGATGGCTCTGATTGGGTTGTTCTTTCTGCAAATGGTCTGTTTTTCAATGCTTTCACTTCATTTACCACTATTTAATTGCTAATTTAATTAAACTTATTACTCACCATTTATCAGATTGATTTTTCAGCCATAGTTCATATTACATAAAGGGTTTCTAAATACTTTGCAATAGAAATAAGGAGCAGGTTAGTTTTTTTGCCATCAAAATAAGATAAATGCTGACATTACGCATAATAGGACCTTGGATTGTTTTCTTACACTAAACATAAATCATCTTCAAGGCAAATTGTCCTACCTCCTTACTCAAATCAAGGAAAATGCATTTATTTAAAGAAAAATGTACTTGGATTCCTATTTTTGCAACACACTCTAAGCTTCAAATGGTAAAGAGTTTTCTTTAATCGTGTGTTTTAGAAAATGTATGACTCAAATACACTACAGGCTTGGTAAAAAGGCAAACATTTACCAAAGCGTCATTTTTTTTAGCATCAAATAGCAATATTTTCTAATTGTGCTTCAGAGAATCACAAGAGGAATTGCTGCAGGATAAACCTGCCATTATTTAGAATTATAGAAATATTTCTATGCATAACTGTTGTTATATGAATAATTCCGTTTATTTATATAGCGCAAATTCACAACACGTCATCTTAAGGCATGTTACAGTTCACCAGATCAAACGGTCAAATTGATTCAAAGTTTTCTATCTAAGGAAAACCAGTTGATTGCATCGACTCATTGACTCGAAGACAATCCCTCACACTTAACATGCTTGTAGCGACAGTGGAGAGGAAAAACTCCCTTTTAACGGGAAGAAACCTCCAGCAGAACCAGGCTCAGTGTGAGCGGCCATCTGCCGAGGCCGACTGGGGTTCAAGGAGACAGAAGCAGAGTTACAAAAGGCAACTGCTAACCGGCTCCACAGGCAGCCCTGTGCAGGAAACACACAACCAGGCAGGCGAGCTCCGACCCAGCTCCCATGATCAAAACCTTTCATGTTTATTTTAGTTTTTTTTTTTCTTTAAGGAAAATATCAGTGAAACAACAAAAACTTGTTTAAACTGCACAAAACAATGGCCTCGATTATAAATTAAATGTTTAGAGCTCTTATAGTGGCTGATTATTAGACATTTGCAGAGACAGATATGATTGACGTTTGAGATTAGTTTCAAGTATCAGCCAATCACAGATCTCCCAAACATCATTGCCAATAAATCTATGCACCTCTATGTTTTAATCTCTTATACCTGGGGTGTCCAGAGCCACAACAGTCCGCTGTCTCTACCCGACAGCTGTGACTACTAACAAAGGTGGCACAGGCAACAGCAGTGGAGGAGGAGTTATGTGACCAATGGAGCAAAAAGTAATGATCATCTGTCCGAATTGTAAGTTAACACGGTTAGCTTGTATGAGCTATGAGAACAGCAACTTTTAAACAGACCATGCACAAGGAGAAATGGGCTTGTGGATGCTCTTGCACGCGTTTAATAGGCGTTTCCTTTTTGGAGTGGGTGCAGGGTTGTGCATGTGCATTTTTTTTTTTTAAATTGAAGAGGTCGGGTCTTTAAAAAAAATAAAAATAAAATAACTTCTTCTTCTGCACCGTTGGTCTGGAATTTCTCGGGACGTGCAGCAGTTTCCTGCCAAAGCGCAAGGGGGAGCCTATTGGAGAACTCGCAAGAACTTCGGCGAATGGTCACGAGAACTTCCTTTTGGCAGAGACCTTGGCATCTTTATATCATTTGTCTAAAGCATTGTACAAGTGGTTTTACCTCCGAACCTCCTCAATTAACCTTTCATCGTAGTTGTCCATTGCAGTTGTTCCTCGGTTTTTCAAAATGGCACCAAATCGAGAAGGACGACCACACAGACAGCCGGAAAGGCATACCAATGACCAATCACAGCTGCTTTTTGTCTGCGCACTTACACTTGAGGTCTGCGCATGTTTGCAACCGTCCGATGCGTAGTCAGGATTTTTATTTAGGTGCATAAATTGGCCTTTAAGGTACTCGATTCAGTGCCGGGGTGCACCATTTTTAATAACTGAGGAACAACTACAATGAACAACTACGACGAAAGGTTAATCTGTGTTTTTGCCAACTCCATTAAAAGAACCTGTTCCTCTTTGATGTCTAGCAACTCTGTATTCATCTCCGTGACCATAATATCTTACAGACGTGCCATTGTTGTTTTTGGAAGATAAACACTACCTCCGGCGCCGCCAAATTTCTGGAGACCATCCGCCAAAGTTCTTGTGAGTTCTCGAATAGGCTCCACCTTGCGCTTTGGCGGGAAACTGCTGTGCGTCCCTAGAAATCCCAGACCAACAGTGCAGAAGCATACCAGCAAAACTGGTTTGCGACCAGACCCAAGCGACGTTTGATGTGTGCAGTTGCAGAAAAATAAAACAGAGGGATCAAAAGCCTTGCTTAATTTAAAGTAAACAGTGCAACTTCCTAAAGCAGTCAGCCAATTTAAACCCACCTGATCCAAAACCCTGTCAGGTTCATGAGCAGAGCAGAAACTAGATCCACACCACAGAGTTATTGTACCCAGAAGCAGCTCTCCAGATTCCTGATCATATACGCATTATGAGCCTGAATAATTCATGGGCATCCTTCACCTGGCAGGCATGGCCCTCATCCCGCCCCGTAGGAAGAGAAGAGGCGGCCCGGGGAGCCTCCTCTGCGGCTTCCCCCCCACCCTCTCTTCTTCTGCAGGACCATCCTGCTGCTGTCAGCAAACCATGACCCCCCCACCACCACCACCCCCATATCGACCAAACATAAATAGTCCTTCAATTTCTCTCCCACCCCACCGTTTGGAAATCAGACTCCAGTCTACCGCATTGCTACACCAAACCACCGGCTTTGGACTTGCACAATACCCCCCCTCCCTCCCTCCTCCTGATCACACCGGTCCCCTCCAGCATGCTGGATCCTGACATGAATACTGATGCATAACGGCCGATCGGTGCCGCTTCAAAGCTGCCAGGGATGCCTACATCTTCTCCACACACACACACACAACACCCTATAACAATACCTCCACCTCCCTCCTCCACGATTTAAAGGAGTGCTGCTCATCATCATCATCATCATTCAGCTCAAACGAACCGGGAATATTCACCTGAAATCAGATTAAATCCACTAAGAAAAGCAGGGAGATCCTGCTGCGTGGATGCAAATGAACAACAAAGCGTTGAAGGCAGCCAAGAAAATGGCGAGATTTCTACGAAGGACCGCATCGGCAGCAAGAAACGCAGCTTTTTTATTATTATATATTATATTAAATTTAATGCGACGACTTGAAGGAGGTGTACGAGTGTATCTGAAACCGAACAACGGGATAAAGTTGCTGCTGGGGAAAAAAGGGAAAGGAGCTAGCAATAAAAACAAAACGGGATAAATAAATAAAAAGTGTTAAGAGTGTAAAATCGGGGCATTATGGAGGAGGTGGAGGTCTGTCTGTCTGTCTTACCTGCTGGCCGTGGCATAGGGCAGCGGGTGGCGGATTTAACCCGCCCCCCGTCCTCCAGCTGAAGCACCGGTGTTGTTGTTGTGGGCGTCTTCTCTCCACTTTCCTTCAACTTGACGTTAAGCTAGCGGTTCGGCTAAAGTCTACAGCAGCCCTCTGGTTCCTCCCGGAGACCCCCCACCCCACTCCCCCCAGGACGGCAGCGTCTCCCCGCTTCGCCACGCAGACAGCTCCGTGTCCGAACAGGAGAACAATGGCTTCTCCTACCGCCTCATGTCTTCGCCGCTTTGTCTTTTCTCCTTAAGAGTCCCAAAAGAAAAGTTTTTTTAGTCGCTTTATTTTGGCTCTGACAAGAGAGCGAGCGAGCCGTGACGTCAGCACGTACCCTCCCCAGCGTGCACACGCCCCCCTATATACGGGCTACACCCACTGGAGACAAAGGCTCCGGCTTTAATATGATTTATGGAGCTGAAAGCAGGGCTGGCCTCAGGTTGAATGGGGCCTTAGCAGAATCTGGTTGAGGGCCCCCTCCTACTCAAAGCTTCCTCACCTTCTTTAGTGTTTTATTATGATTTGGTTGAATATGAGCGAGGGGCCAAATTAAACCCTTTATAGGAAACTCAGTAAAAAAAATAAAATAAAATAAATAGTGTAATTGGAATCCAGGACAAGACCTTGTTACATTTGTAACATTCAAAAGATATGGATATCTTGGCAAAGATGAATGTCAATGTAATGATAAGAAACACCAACTTGCCTGAATATATTAAGAAAAATAGTGCTTCTATGAGAAATTCATGAAAAACACTCTTAGAGTGAAAGAAATAAAAAAAATGTTGGTACAACATAACCTTATAGCAGAGGTCTTCAACGTTTTTCAGGCCAAGGACCCCCAAACTGATGGCAAGATGAAATTGTGTTATATCAGACTAGTCCTATAGTCACTCTATTACAGATGGAGTCATGTAATGAAAGTAATTTCTCCCTGGGATTATTAAAGTATTTCTGATTCTGATTCCTCATTAAGGGGACAGGTGTTGTGAATGAAACGGTGCCCAACTTCAAAGAGCTCCTGTGTGTCGCTGAATGTGTGCATTAATGACTGAAATACATCTTCTGCCTCCATTTATCTATTTACTACAGTGTGTTGAATTCATGTTAATGTGTATTAAAAGACATTTCAATTAGTGGACAAAATTGCAGGGGGAATATTGTCCACTAAGGGAAATGTCTTCTTCATGTTTGCTCTTTCCCATACATGGCTTGTTGGGAAAACTGACCTTGTTCATGAAGGTCACGGTTGTGGAATCCAACACTAACAGTTAACCTGTCAGCAGGTGCAGGTGTGGATCTCTGTAGCCTTTCCTGTGTTTGTTCATGGATTTCCTGCAGTAAATCTCCACAGAAAAGGTGGATTTAAACTGAATAACACAGAAATGTATTCATTATGTGACAAACTGGGCGATTTTTGCAGGTAATTGTTTGCACTGGGTTTTCTGGGGGTAACATACATTCCTGCCACACATTTCAGATTTTATTTTCATAAAAAAATTTTACACTACTGCCCTACTTTGCTGGCCAAAAAGTAGGGCACTCTATTAAGTCTATTAAAGTGTTTTAATAGATTCTTCTGTTTGAACAGCAAATTACTACATATTATCTGTACTAAATTGCTATATTTAATCATCATTAGTCAAGGTTAACCTCTCTAAAGAGATGTTCGAGGAATATTCAAAGAAAACTTTCTCAGGTATGTACTACCTACAACAAAGTATGCCTTTCTGAGTCATATGCAGCGACGATGATGATAGGAGGAGCGTCAGTTCATGTCCTTGTCAGGCAGTGTATTCAAACGTAACAAAGCAAATGTTTCGGGTTGTATAAGGATACTGCTTTATCATTTTGCAGTCTGTTGCTTTTCAAATGCTTGACCTGTTTTTCAAGCAGGGTTGAGTCATTTTAGGGTTTTACAGTCTTGCTTTTGAAGTTGTCATTCTGGTTCTACTGCACATCAGGCTCAATTTATCATGTGAATATCTCTAAAGGGAATTCTCTTCCTCCTTATTCTAACTGAACCATCTTGACACCAACTATTATCTGTTTCAGTTCTAATCAGGACCAAATTCCTGGTCGGAACTGTCAACGGCCTTCTGCTGATAACTGAAACGTCCTCATTAGGAGAGTTGAACGCTCCACGGTGATACACACACACACACACATACTGGTTCTGCCATCGTAGTAAGGACCATGTGTTGACTCCCATTGACATCCACTGTTCCCAGTCATTTTAAACCCTTTCTATGCCCTAACCCTAAACCTAACCATTACTAATGCATACCTCACCCTAACCCTAACCCAATTGACGACTTAGCCCTAAACCTAACCATTAGTAAAATAGCAAGTTATGAACGGCAAAATGTCCTAAACTTTGCAACAACTGGTCCTCAATTTGATGATGAAATATGAAAAATGGTCCTCACTCTGAGGGCTAGACAAGTACACACAAACACACATACAACAATTTTTTTTTTTTTTTTTTTTTTTTTTTACAGTGATACTTCCCTGGATGATTAAAATCTAAAATAATACATTTATTGAAGTGACTAAATTATCTTCTTTGTATAGAGAGTTGAAACTATATAGTATCAAGAATTATAAAAGGACACAAAGAATTATCTTCTCACTGTCTGACCTTAATTCAGAAGTTTTTTTGTTTGTTTTTTACAGTTTTAGGTCAGCCAGAGTTACAACAATTATTCATATTTGCTAAATGTCATTTAATTATTATTATTAGTTTAATTCACTGTATCATTGGGGTCTAACATTGGGGTTATCCTTCCAAAAGCTGCCTTGGGCAAATGCTACAGTGTGAAAATAATCAAAATAAGTAAAAACTTCTTGAATAAAGTATATTTGCATTATATTTTATTCATTTATTTTTTTTTTTTTTTTTTAACAGTGTCCTGTCTTGGCAATGTGGCAATAAGAATATAGTTTAGCAGGTAAGTAAAATGATCTGCTAATGAAATTAGTTTGTTTGCCCCTAAAATATGATAATTATATATACTGCACTTATAAATAAGAATATGGAGATTTGTTTGTCATATGTTAAGCACAAGACTGTTATTCCACTGGCAGATCATTTTACTTACCTGCTTAAATTAATTATAAATACAAGTATATTAAGAAAAATTCACTGGGTTTTGCAGAGTACAACTAAGTCTAGGATTTAGGTTGCCTTCATTGCAAAAAAAATCACCATCTAAGCAAGTCATACAATCATAGATCTGTCCTTAAACAAAGTATTTTTGATCTTCTTCCGGAATTGTTGTACTAAAACACAGCAGATGCTGCAGGTTATTCATATTCTTTTGAATAAATTCTACTCTAAATAAGTGCATTAATCTGCTAGTGCAGTAAGACGATGCCAAGGCTTCTTGCTTTGAGGATATATTATGGTATTAAGAAATCTTACAAAGTGCAATTGACTGACTACACTGGCAGATACTTGCACTTATTTTTAATTAGAATCTTTTTAGAAGAAGATTAACAATCACTAAATCAGAATCTGTTTTTGTAGTGCAGCTAAAAAACAAGAGCTAAAAGACCTTTTTGACTAGATTTAAAATTGTAAAACTTGGTTAGATGAATAATTTCTGCAGTGTTGTTCCCAGTTCTCTTCAGCTTTGCTCACAGATTTTGAATCGGACTCAAACCGTCATCATAAAAGACTGACCGTGCATCATAAGCCTAATGCTAAAACCTTGTAAGTAGTTTAGCAGTACGCTCAGGGTCGTGGTCTATCTGAAAGACTTGTTTCGTTTTCCAACAAGAACTTTCTGACTGTGGCGCTGGTTTAGTATCTCTGCTCAGATCCTTTCAACTTTTAATACCATTTATTTTGTAAGGTGCACCAGTCCTTCCTGCAGTTAAGCAAACATTAAGCTGCAACCGGCATAATTTGTGTTTGAAAAATGTTTTAAAACTTTGAAAACTGTTTTTTCCTTTAAATGTAATCACATGACTGCAAAAAATTATCTACAAATAGGAAAATATTTCTTCAATAAGTAGCCTGTCCTTAATTTGAACAAATGAATAAGAAGATCCGCCAGTAGACTGAGATGATAAGATACACATTGATATTATAAAGTATTGTTTTATTTGATATGTAAATTAGTTTATTATGTTACCAACAATTCTTACTTAGTTACAAAAACTGACTTACTTATATTTCAGTTTTTCCAGTGTAGCTATTATTGCCAGCCGTTAACATTTTTTGTCCCCGATTGCATTTGGATCTATTATCTCCCTTTTTGTGTTGATTTTAGAGTGACAGTTTAAGACAAAGAAAGAGTTAGACTGGAAGGTTCAACAACAATCTTCACCAGCAGAATGCAAAAGCTCTCAGAAGTGAGAAACTCAGTAAATCTTTAGAAAAAAAAAAACAGTTACATGTGCTGTAATCTAAACTGATGGTCTGTTATAGCATTAGTATTTTTCATTTCCCTTTTCTCCGAGCAGAGAGCACAGAAAGAGGCGTTGAGACGACTCGCAGGAAAGGCAGCAGCACAAAAGATTTCTGTGTCAACAGGATGGGTGAGTTGAGACGAGATCAATCTAATCCTGCCTTGAACAACAGCCAGATTCGTTTTCTAGACGTCAACTGCCAACAAGTGCAGATCAGATGCCAATCAAGGGAGCGGCACGGTGAAAGAAAGAAGCTGAGAGGAAGAGGTGCATGAAATCAGATGGCTAAAATGAAATGATTTCACTCTGCTGTAATTCTCTCTTAATTCTCTGTTCACATTAAGATGCCTGTGATAGAAGCTACATGTTATCAGTTTTTAGATCAGGGTGAAATGTAGATAAACCAAGCTGGTCAATAAGGCTTTTCAACAGGATTTTATATTTAAATCTGCCCTTAAACAGGGGTTTATTTTCACACAATGTACAGACAATTTAATTCAATTTAAAAACAATTGATTTCTTACTCACATAATACTATAAGCTGATGGCTCTGGGAAGGAAATATAGGATCAAAATCCTTACCAGGGTGACAATACCTCCATCTTATGTTAGACTGAACTAAATAGCATCTAAAACTCAATTAGAAGTTGTTAGAATTATTTCCCGTTTTCTGTGAATAAGAGTGTGAGTCTCTGACCTTGATTTAAGACGACTATGTCTCCTGAAAGCAATGCTCCTATCTAGCTTGTTATGACTTCCTCGTCTTCTGAAAGGAAAATCTATAGTTTTAAAAAAAGCTGAGTCAGAGATAGAAAGCGAAGGAGTTAGACAGAGAATTGAGGGATTGCTTATAGTTCTGATTTCTAACAAAGGACCCAACAAAATACCCACTGGCCTTCAAGCCTCAGATTAAACTGGGCACT